GGACTCAGGCTGCTCTCCTGCCCTCAGCTGAGCCACACAGGGGCCAGCTCGGTCGCACCACATACCCTGGGGGTTCCCCCAAGCCTGGCCAGCAGCCCAGGGAGTCAAACTGAGGGGTCACCACGGGGCCACCAGAGCCCTGTTCCCAGCAGAAGGCCAGTGACAGGCTATGGCACCTCTGGCAGCCGAGGGCAGCAGGATGGCAGGGGTGTGCTGGGGAGCACTTGGTGCACATCACCTTCCCAACGGCCAGGCCACCGACCACTGAGAGGATCACCCCACAGACTTTGATCACCAGGGTCTGCAAAAGAGACAACAGGCAGAGCAGGTCACACAGGGGGCATGAGAGACACGACTGTGGCAGCCGCAGGGGACACAGACTTGACCAGCCACAGGGGCAGGAGCCAGTAACCCGGGGGACCCTCCCAGCCCCTCGCTGAGGCAACGGGCTTGGCCAAGGTTCTGCTCAGCCCGAGTTAAAAACTGACCAGCCCCATCACACGTCCCACCAGCCCCCCCTCCTACCTTCAGGCGGACAACGTGAGGGATCTTCACGCCGTTGAGATAGCACTTGATCTGGGGGATGCCACTGCCAGCTGCCACGGGCTGCAGGGGGCAGGGAGAGCATCAGCAGCTGCCACGGGCAGGGTGGGGACATGCTGCCCACCTCACCCCTGCTCCTCAGCACAGGGCGCCCTGAGAGAGGCCTGGAGATGAGGCCCAAGCCTCTCTACAGGCTCTGAAGATGGCCCTGAGGGAGGCACCTACTACTCCTAAGGGCAAACGTGGTAGGGAGAAGGAGCCAGGTGGGTTCCTGGTGGGGTGTCCCCACCACTGCCCTGGTGTGAGGTGCAGTGCTGCAGAAGACTCACACTTGGTGGCCAAGCAGAGCAAGGGCAAAGCCAAAAGGAAGACACTGCTGACTCAGAGTGGCCCGTAGGGAACCATCATCCCATCCTGGCCATAACCTGTCTCCAGTTTGTCCTCCCAACCCTGTCCCCAGGGCACCCACAGCTGCTCTCACCCACGCTCACGTACACCCAGCATGGAGAGGCCAACCTGGGGCCAAGGCTCACGAGAGCTGCAACTGCACCCAAGGCTGGAGCACATCTCTGCCCTGGGCTGCCAGCCAAGGGCACCATGACCTGCTGGTCTGACACCCCAGGAGAAACTCAACAGCACATCTGGAGCCAGCACTGAGGAACTGGGGCTCCCAAGGGCCAATCTGGCAGAAACACATTTGCCATGACAGGGGTTTTCATGTTTCCTGGAGCTGGGATCCTGCTCTCCCCAGG